CTGGATTTACAAATGTACAGAATGCTATTTGTGCTTTTTTGTAATGTTTTGCGGTAGATAACGCTAGCAAGAGGCGTCAAACATCAATTTATAACGAGGAACTTATGCTTCTGTTCAATTCAGTACAATTTCAGGAAGTACACCTTTTGTTAACAGGTCTTTATTCCATCGAATAGTTATGTTCATATAGCAACCAACAGGAAATGAACTCATAACGCTAACCATTACTACAGAAAAGGAAATAATAAAGCAACTGATATAAACAGATAATAATGAGAACATTATTCATTGAAAAATATTTACTGATATCAAATCGATATGAGAATCAAGCAATACAAGAATTTAAATATCTAGGAAGTATTTTAACAGATGACGGAAATTATGATATAGTCGTATTGAAATAGTGAAGGACATATTCCAAAAAGGAAATAAAGCATTAAGAATGAAAAAATGTTGAACTACGATGTAATATTTATCCTCCTTTTCGGCAGTGGATGATGAACAATTTCCACAAATATTAAGTGGAGATCTGAAGCAACTGAAACGTCGTTTTACAGAATAATGCTGAGAATACGATGAACAATCAATGTGAGCAACGTGTACGTTTTTTCGAAAAATGGAAACAAAAAGCAGACATAATTTGAATCAGAAAGAGACAGTAGGAATTCTTTGGACACATAATGAAGAAAGAAGGCTCGTGGAATCTGATATTCACAGGCAACAGGTAGTGGGAAGAATAGAAACAAAACAAACGTTGTTAAGAGCTACAAAGGATAGGAAGTTGAGGAGAACCATGATCGCGTACATCTTAAAGGAATATGACACAAAGTAGATGTGTTATGGCCGTAAGGATAGTGTAACTGAAATCGGCGAGAAATTGGAGTTAGTAAGCAAATTATAGAATCATCTCTTGCTATTTCGCACTTATGCCCTTGTGAGAGAAGGAATCAGTTTTTCTCCCTACATCTTTGGGTTTCGTAGCAGGGTAGACTGTACTCTCCAACTTTGGGTAGTAATCAGTATAGGAGTAGGACAATTATGAATTCAAGCTATGGGGAAAGCAATGCGAATAGACTCCATTATCTTTCCCAAGAACTCATGATAATTCACAGATAAGAAAGAATGGAATCTGTGGAAAGCTGTGATTGGCTACATTCTTAAAAGACATTATATTATTATTATATTTTGGTCCAATTAATGAGTAATAATAAGGAAATGGAATCTGTACAGAGATTTTGTTACGTACGTCTTGAAACGAGATGGCATTGAAAAATATATCAAAGTTCGTGGAATATGGTATTTAATTTAAAATATTTATATCCTTTTTGTCTGAGATTATATAATTTTTTGTTTACATTATTTACATTGTTCGGACTGTTGTCCTCATCTTTATTATCGTATTTACGACGTTTCGGCCGTTGTACGATCCGGCCTTCTTCAGGTGATTGGAATTTCGAACTGAACCCTTTATTTCGTCCAGCGGAGTATATTATTCTAGTTCCACGTGTCATGCCTCTTCCGGGTGTCTCAGTTATCTCCCAATAACTCAACTCTCCAAGTTTTTGTTCATCAATACAGTAGCCAGGTATTGAACTAACATCTTTGTGGGTCAAGTCACTGGATCTAACCAACGTTTTATCCACTTAGGCCATTGGAAATTCCAATCAGCTGAAGAAGGCTGGAGCGTACAACGGCTGATACGTCGTGAATATGGCATTAAAGATGAGGACAACAGTCTGAACAATGTAAATAATGTAAATAATTACAATACTTCATCTCAGAAATATAGACAGATATATTTTTTGTGTTTATTATAGAGTATGAATATGTTTAAGATCGAAACATATTATTCCAGCATCTTTAATAGTAGTCGACAGGAAACAGCAACAAAACATTTCCCGCTGAGTGCGCGCCATTTCTATGAGACAGAAATTGATTCTGCCAATTTATAAAACCCCATAACTGTCGCGGCTCGGGTCACGTTACAGCGGCGTACGGTTTGTTTATGTGTAAGTTGGGCACCTTTTGAATAAAGCAGAGTCGGAAGGCCACCTTCTGGGAAGTATCAGGATTTCTGGTTTATTGCTTGTAACCAGTGCCAAGAAAATGGTCCCCGGGAGGGATATAAACATCTTGGAAAGCACAACCCTATGAAGTAACTGTAAATAGGCGCGTAGACAAATCGCGGGAAGCGGAGAGAGGTGGAATGGACGCGAGGAGGAAAGAAGCGAAGGAAGGCAGAGCTGGAGACGAATGTGCGACGAAGGGGCTAATCGGATTAATGGGCGTTGATATGTTGAAGATTACAGTTGATGGAAAACGAAATTTGATACGACAAAATGGGCGCCTACTCTAGAGCACTGGCTACAAAACTAGTCGCTAGGATTGGTAGTTCAATAATCACTGGGAGTCCCCATTACTTTGAAGGGTACCACACTACTGGGAAGGTTACGCACGATAAAATACCGTTTGAAAAGATTTCTGGTGATGCACAATAGACATGGCGACCAGAAATAATTATTTTTTATATTTTTTGTTCATATTACTATAGATTAAGCACTGCAGATCCCGAATATCAATGGTTTTAATTATATTTGATAAAAGTTAATAGGGCATCAGTATGCTATAAAAATTAATCTAAATTGATCCCCACTACGAACGACAAAACAAAACAAAAACATATATGTAGATTATATATATATATATATATATATATATATATATATATATATATATATATATATATATATATATATATATATATATTACTGTCGATTAAGCATTCCCAATTATGAATTACAAAAAATAAAAAATAAGTATTTTTTTTAATTTTAAAAAAAATCACGTGGAATGAGCACATTTGTTTTGGCTGTCGTTGGACGATCAACTTACATTGAAATGACATAGCAACCCGGGCCCTCTCCTATTAACATATATGTAATTGAATCTATTGAAAACATATTACTAATCTATAATAATATGAAAATAAATTGGGAAAAATATTCATTTCTGTTCGCAGTGTCTATCTTGGAAATCAAACAAAATCACATCGCGACAAAAGAATCATGTGTTCAATTCTCACCAGAGTCGGGTTCTACTGTGAAGACTGAGATATCCGACGCCAATAACTGGAATTATGTTTTCCTCTGTGACTTTTAAATTAATTTCCATTATATATCTATTAGTATACTTGGGAGCAATCATTCTTTTATACATGTTTCATTGAAAGTAACAGATAAGGGAAATCTTTTCAGTTTTTATAATGTTTTTACTGTTTTCTATTTTCGGAGGAATAAGTGACTATAGATATTGTCCGTAGTAATTATTGTCCGAAATGCTTTCGGCTACTTCAGTAGACATGTTCTTAGTATGTTTTTCTTGTGTATATATCCAAATATGTAGAGTCTAGCAGTAGAATTTCTAAGCTGTGCTAGTTGGATGTATTAGCAATTCCTTTTTGGGAGTGTCTTTAAATCACGTTATTTTACACATAGATCTCCTTAGAATGACGGCGTTATCTACAACATTCTTTCTAATCGGAGCAGGTATTTGTGTGTTGGGATTGAAGTGAGTTTTTGGTATTGGGATTGAGTAAGTGATTTATCAATATTCATTCTATTATTGTAGTTTATTTGAAGTTCAGCTCGAATTTAAAACGCTTCTGGCTCTTTGTCTTAATAAGCAAACAAATGTTACGATATTATCATTAACTTGATTCTTCTAATCTCTAATCCCTCTCTCTGTGTTCATCTCGTATTTAATACACAAAATCGAAACTATGCTAGTAATCTTATTCACAAACAAGCCATTTCAGAAGTTTATCTTTCCGAGTTTATATATATATATATATATATATATATATATATATATATATATATATATATATATATATAAGAAAGAGGTTGTAGTGGTTCCAACGAGAGAAAAGTATGTATATTAAAAAGAAGAGAAGAGAGGTGCCGCAAACGTTTTTTTTTTGTAATGTGGATTTTTTTAGAAAAAAATATTATGCTTTATTTTCCATACTACACGTGTTCCTGGTCTCGCGACCGTCTTCAGGTAAAAGGCGGAGATTTCCACATATTATTAAAAATAATTAATGTTTTCCTTATGTTTTTCAATGTTAAATATTCTCGATATGAGACATTCTCTGTTTTAGTGTTAGTAATCCGAATGTCTTTCTTGAATTGGCAATGAAGAGTACTGCGCAAAGGGTCATAAAACAATTAAGGTTGGCCCAAGAGAAATGATGAATTACTTATCGGCATTTTATCTTTTAATGTTTGAATGACCCCTATGTGATATATATATATATATATATATATATATATATATATATATATATATATATATATATATATATATACACTAGGCCCTCAAAATCGACGTATGAGGGGCAAGTAACTCAGTTCTAAGGACCGACAGCCAGACACACGTGATTTGATTATAGTGGTAACGGCATTGAGCAGAATCAACAACTCTTTTTGAAGAGCGGATTACAGAGATCTAGTTCACAACGTGCCACAAGGTCCCCAAACGACCCTCCGCAGGTTTCGACTTCAGAGTTGTCCCTCTCCTAGAACAGTTAACATCCAAGTCTATAGACCCCAGTCTACCCTGCTATTTACCCATAGCTGGAGGGGAGAAGATGAGGATTCATACTTTTTCCCAATGGTAATAGCACATAAGGGAAGGATTCGACTGGAATTCAAACACAGCCGCTATCCACTACTTCACCGTACCTCACACACACACACACACACAAACATATATATATGAGAGAGAGAGAGAGAGACAGAGAGATCATTGCAATTGAAGACGAAAATGATATCAACAAGACTGTAGAATAATGGGAGACAGTTGTTTAAACCAATGGACACTACTTGACTTATAAATGATTTTGTATGCAAGATTTTGTTTTCAATTGTATATTTCTTTTATGCGCACTTTATCTCCTTCAAATACTCTCTCTCTCTCTCTCTCTCTCTCTCACACACACACACACACACACACGTAAACACATAGGTGAACTCATTTGAGCCATCTAAAATATTATTTACAGTAATTCATTTTTAAGTTTATGATGTTAACAAAAGAGAGAGAAAGAAGAAAAAATCCACACAGAGAATACAATGATTTGGAAGAAGATAGATATGAATAGACTTAGACAGGTAGATATTAACAGACTTAGATAGATAGATAGACAGATAGATAGATAGATAGATAGATAGATAGATAGATCATTGCAAAAGTTCGTGCCTGGTTAGAAAACTGAAAACAAAATCTTGCACACAAAACCCCTTATAAATCAAGTATATAACTTCCATTGTTTTGAACAAATGTCTTCTATTATTCTACAAGCTTCTGGATGTCATTTTCGTAGAAACTTCGTGTTTCTGTCGGAAGAAGGTTGTGGAGGTATTTTCGACTGACTGTCCAGAGTCAAATTATTTGTTATTTAAACTGTTCTGTAGAGATAGAAAATAAATGAAAATTCCGAAGGAACCAAGTCTGTGGAATACAATGTCTACAACATGGGTTCTTGTGTTGTTTTGGTGGCAAATGACACCTTTTCCATTTGCCAAAATCGACTTGAACTCAAGTCTCTTCAAATGGCGCAACGACATTGAGAAATCTATATTCAAACTCTTAGCTATCTCTTCCGTAGAAATCTTCCCTTTATTCTCCAATATGCCTATCAGAGCGTCTCCGTCGATGTCGTTAGGAGCGTTTAGGTTAAAATCACCCTAACAAAATTTGGCAAATCATTTTGACCGTCCGAAGATCTGGAGCACGATCCGGATAAACACACTGAATTTTTTTTTTTTTGTCGCAGTTCAGTCGGTTACATCCTTCCGAAATGCATATAGGGAAAGTGCAACTTTTCATCCTCCATCTTTAAGGCATTCATTTGTGATCAAAGCGTCAACATTAAACACAGTCTTAGTCACAAATGAATGATCAAATATTTCAATCTAGATCACACTAGAAATTGGAACTAAAACAAAAGCCAGTGTCAAGTTGCACTCATTTTATATTAACAATGAAAATCGGGTACGGACATTTGCAATTATCTGATCAAGTACAAAACATAATATTTAACAAACCTTTCAAGTGAAGGAAGATTTTGATGCGCCAGATTTTCAAGCGCTGAACTGCTATCAACTTGCTTTAAATCGACATTTAAAATAGCTGCATTTATTTGAAATCGATCGCAGATACATGGAAAAGATGTTAATTGTGAAATTATCTTATCAACCAATTATTTTATTTTCACTTCTGTTCAAACAGTCCGGTATTAATCTTGAGAATTGGATCAGTGGTGAAAATCAACCTTTTGTATGTTAAATTTAAATCTGTATAACTGTTCCTGTTTGGAAAATTGTTTTTTCTTACGATGAACTTATTAAATATATAGCTCAACCTCTTGATAATTATTTCTCTTCTGTCTGATGTCAGTACATATATATTGCTCTCCCAGTTTGTGTTTAAACAGAAGTATCTGTAGACATAAATATATGTAGGTAATATGGTTATTTAATTATCTGATATATAATACATCACGATATTGAGCAAGAAGTTTAAAAAATGATAAAGGAAACCTTCGAGAAAAATATGATTTTCTGTTCTTGTCAAGATTTGTCACGCGACTAGCATTCAATATTATTATGTATATTTTATTAATCATTTCATCACAATCAAGGCAATAAAGCCGCTAAAACGCAAAGGGCTTCATATTTGTTAAAGAATATGAGAATAAGATAGCATTATTGCTGAGAGGGAACAAAAAAAGAAAAGCGATTGGCATTGCATAAAAATATTTGGAGATCAAAATTAGCTGGAAAAGAAGAAAGATTTCACAAGCGATACGTGCCAGAGAAGAAACTGTTAGCATAGATCTTAGGGTTACATCTAGTCATTTCAACTGTAAAATGATCTGACCTTGATGCCAAACGAGTAGTAATTTTATAAAGTCTACGTACCAAAGAGGAAATCTCACAATAAACTATCAAGAAATTATTTAGAGAAAAGGCACAGAGAAGCTACGTTTCGACAGTTGTAAAGTGACTGAAGCCGGGTTGCCAGGTCACAACCAATAACATTGTAGATTATTTTTTGTATTTTAGCAATAATCTGTAAATACATAGCAGAAGCTTTACACCAGATGAGACAGCACTCTCCAGTGCATGGATTTATAAATATGTAAGATGGATTCTGTCAAAAATATTGTTTAGCATAACACAGTGAAACGACATACATAGCAGATGACCTAGTAAGTGGTTCAATATAATCTTTCCACTTTGTATCGAAAAAGTTACTACTTCTTTTACAACATCAATGTATAGAAATGGGGAAATCTTATTATTTGATTAATTCTTCAGGGAAAGTTTTCATAGCTTGAGATTGTTTGATCCGTTGCTCAATGTTTGTTATATAGAACGAAACAAGAATAAATGTGTACATTCCTAAGTATATGTTACATGCGGAAGAATGAATCATTCCAAATCCCAAATAAATTTTGTGTTACTAAAGAAAACAGAGAAATAACCGAAATATCAAAATCCTAATCCAGATGAAAAAAATATTTTTTATTCGAATGCGTCAATAAAACCAACTATTTACTTACTGGGATGTTGTACAGTGACTGTATGATCATGCTTCAGTAAAGAAATCTATTTAAAACCAATCAAATACAAATTAATTATTTCGATATGATTCATTTAGACTGATGTTTAGAATACTAAATTTAGATATTTAGATATGTTTCGGTTTAATATTAAAAATTCAATTTTCAACCTTTTAAGAAATAAGAAATTCTCATCTATTCATAATTTTCATAAAAAAATGTAACAGTTTATGTCAAGGAAGTAATTCATTAAAAACACGTCCAAATTTTTCATAAACTCAGTTATGAAATATATATTGCCGGAGTACATTCTGAAAATCCAGGAAGAAAAATGAAAATTTTTTAACTGCACAAGAACAATGTAATGGTATGAACGTTCTGGCTTCCACAAATTATAAAATACGTGGACTTTATATGGCTGAAAATATATATATATTTTTGAATATATATATATATATATATATATATATATATATATATACTGATAATATATATTATATATATATATATATATATATATATATATATATATATATATATATATATATATATATATATATATACTGATAATATATATATATATGTACAGATAATATATATATATATATGTATATATACAGATAATATATATATATATATATATATATATATATATATATACTGATATATATATATATATATATATATATATATATACTGATAATATATATATATATATATATATTTTCAACCATGGCCAACGTATTTTATAATTTATGTATAATTTATATATGTTATATAAAGTGTAACCCGGATATAAGAGAGTTGTCGGTACCGGAGAAGAAATCTCTTATATCCGGGTTTGGTCTATTTTATATACCTTAACACAGGCTCTAATTTAGGACCAGAGACAATTTCTCTTATATCCGGGTTTCTCTTATATCCGGGTTGCACTCTATATATATATATATATATATATATATATATATATATATATATATATATATATATATATAAAAACGTTAAAAAGTTCTCTTTCTCATTTCTGACGACAAATCGGTGAGGCTTCGATCCTGGCTTGAAGTAATCGGACATCTATCCACATTGATCTGCCAGAATATATATATATATATATATATATATATGATTTGATTATAGTGTTGAAGGCTTTGTCCAGAACCAACCACACTTTTTGAAGGACGGAATACAGAGGCCCACAAACGACCATTTTGTATTCATTGTTTCCATAGAGAACCCAGTCTGTTTTGCTATTTACCCACAGCTGAAGAGAGAAGAAGAGGATTAATACCTTTCCAAAGAGTATTAGGACGTAAATGAATGTAATGGATTCGACTGGAATTCGAACTCGGCTCTCCGATTCCTCAATCCGAGCCGCTATCCATTACTCCAACTTCTCATATAGGAGACGTGTTGTATGTGTTTGTGTAAAATTGAAGATACAACTAAAATATATATATGTAAAATGTTAATATCCATAAAGCCAAAAGGAAAACTTGTTTCGTGCTGGACTTTATCAAGTCAAACGTAATGATTTCATTTTGCAACAAGTGTTTATAAGCAAAAGTAAGAAATGTTATTTCTATTTCAAAATGTGTAAATTTCAGAAACACTCATAAATATTCATCAGATTAACTGAAAAGTCAATATAGATTATAGCTTGCTTTAGGGCCTTCATTCGTCGACTGAAAATTTTCTGTACAAGCTGAATACTGATGATAAAGCAATTGCCACAGAAAACAGGTTCCTCGTGTAATAATTTGTCTAGTAGGTTTCATGCCTGGAGACCGGTGTCTATGGTAGAATTTAAACCCTATTTTCACCCAGACACACTCGTGCATTTTTTTGCGGCATGGCATAGGGCGCTGTCTTGCATGAATTTTGCGGTGACCTTAGCCATCTGAATACAGGGAAGGATGTGGAAAACCCAACTGAAAAAGTGAAATATATTTTGTGTATTAATATTGTCCATACATTCTGCTAAGGCTGAGTGACTAGTGCTTCAAATTGTTCCGTAGACAATCACTAAAAACCCAACTTGTTTGACAGTTTGTTGTGGGTATTTGACAAAATTTGGCAAATGACGATTTATCCGATAAGATTACGCCTTGACAAAATTGTAGTCTCTTTTTAGCATTTTAATATAACATTATTTTATTTACTTAAGGATGGATTTAGAGACCAAATGCTTCTCTCCCATGATAGACAATGCTATGGAGATAAAACTATTCCTGATTCACATCGACAGCAGCTGCTATGTCAAAATATATCGCTATTGGGTTTCTCTCCATAAAACACTGAACAATTTGCAGACACCTATCTAAAGATTACAAAGAACGTGAACCTATAAGTTCTTTTCCTTCTTTCCCTTCATTTCTAATCTTATGATGATCCTAACCATTTTACAAAAGCAGTTTGTATTACAATCAATCAGTTTCTTAAGTTGTTTGATTGAAGAATTAGCATTTATTATATAGGTTACAATGGACCCCGTTATGTGACGGTGTATGGTATTGACATTTGTTATTTTCCATAATATCGGATTCCGTCATTTTTGATTAAGTACGAATGTCTAAAAGATGAACATAAATTTTAGAGAGCTTTCATCAAGTATCGGTAAAAAAAATGAGTGGATATGCATTTGACCGTTGAACTGAAAAATCCTAAGTACTGTTTACTAGTAGTTATAACTTTTCTGTTTGTTCCTATCTATCTATCTATCTATCTATCTATCTATCTATCTATCTATCTATCTATTTTAAAGAATGTATGTGACATTTTTCCAATAATTACAATTTTGGTATTAATTAAGTAACAGTGGTTTATCCAGGTTTTTGCATATCAATTTGATTCTCATCTTTTAAGAAACTTCAACGAGGCAAGCGATGTGAAACCGGCCCAAATTCGAACTTATACTCACACACGCAAGGTGAAATGATTTTTTAAAAAAAATGAGTAAATTGCCTATTTTACATGAGCAAATTTCACATAGTCAATCCGCTTCAAATCCTCCGTAATGCGAAATGAATTCCATTGGGCCGGCGGTCTCCATCATGTCCGACTTAGCTACTAATGCGACCTGACATCTAATTTTCATAGGTTCGTTCGGTTTTTGACGTTATCTTTTTAGAATTTATTTATTTATTTATTTTTTGGTTTGTAAAAGGAAGAAACCGCCCAGTGGCAAAAAGGATAAAGTGATGATACGCTTTTGACAGTAAGATAATCTGAGAGCACGTCTAGATGATTTAAGAGAGGTGCTGCTTTGATGGGAACATCAGTTGCTTGTTTTGTATAATGAGATTGTGAATAAGATTCAAGACGACAAAAAGCATAACAATAACGTACATATATGAGGATATAAGTGCTTATTTAAAGAGATAAGTGAGATGAAGAAAAGTTACTAGGAAAACTCAGAAAAAAACAAAAAAAACTCGATTTTGATTCAGGTGGCCAGTTTTTTCTATCGCTTCATGCCAAAGCAGGCGATAATTATGCTAAGATGCATGGGCTATTCGGAGTGAAAGAGAATGAGAATAATTTGGAAGGGAAAGGAAACAAAAATCAAGGAATAAACCCATATTCCTGTCCAAAAGATCAAGAATGAGTATGAAATGCCTATCAATCCCCTTTTCCATATGCAAATTTGCTAACTGATGTTTAATTATATATATAAGTGCAATTAATATAAGATGTTATGTATATTTCTTTATATATATATATATATATATATATATATATATATATATATATATATATATATATATATATATTAAATACTTCTGTTACTTAGCACTGAGCACTGTTTTTTCTTACACGCTAGTGTATTTATATATATTTGTATACGATCACTCACCCGTATACATACCGAAATTCACCCATTTGTTGATATATGTAGGTGAATGTATATATATATATATATATATATATATATATATATATATATATATATATATATATATATAGTTGGAATCATATTTTTAAATAAATAATTATATATATATATATATATATATATATATATATATATATACGAGTTGGAATCATATTTTAAATAAATAATTATATATATATATATATATATATATATATATATATATATATATATATATATATATATATAGCAACACAATTGCAACCGTGTTTCGATGCGTATCAAAGTATCTCATCAGGCGATTTTAAAAGTATATACATATGTATGTATGTGTGCGTGTGTGTGTGCGTGTGTGTGTGTGTTTGTGTTGCTTGCTAGATCAATTATGATTACTGACAGTTCCGTACTTGCGAACTTAACTAGTACCACGCTTAGTAAATAACTATATATTTAGGACAATATAACATTTACTCACTTTCCTTTATGAGACATTAAATTATAACACTGATAATCATCACTAATTTTAAGATGTATAGTAAGTCTGATATATATTTATAAGCGATTTAAATTTCTAAATCATAAGACAAAAATGTTCACTTTCGTGTATAAATACTTGTTGCAGAATAAAATCCCTCCGTTTTCGTCTGAAAAAAAAAATTTAGTCCTTTTGAGCATCAAAGTAGAAAACTATGTTGTTGTATTAATGTCATTATCTTTTTTGTAGCTGTTGACTTTTCTATTAATATTGTCGATGAAATTGTGAGGATAATGGGATAATGTCAAGTTTTTGTTATATTAACAACAAACATTTCAATGAAAATAAACGAAAAAAAAGTACCACAATATCAACTAACTTGGTAATGTCTGTCAATAAACAGTCTTGATCCTCATACACCCGTCTCTATCTCTCTCCCTCTCTCTATATATATTATATCATCTTCAGAGATTTGGTAGGTAAGGCAAATAATTGTGCTTGTCCGAAATAAATTTATCAAAACCCTG